GTAGACTGGATGCTATTCGGCCATTATACAAATCAACAACGCAAGCTACGTCTTTGGGGCCAAACCGACAATTCAGCGTGGGAGACCGTGTACAATCGAAGTGGTAGTTGGGAGTAGTAACAAGGAAGTACGGGAAGCTGCATTATCAAGTTCACCTTGACAATGGATACAGTCTTAAGCGACACATTAATCAATTGTATAAATCAAACGTTGGAGACATGAAAACACATGGAGACACGACGGAAAACGAAAGAAAATCCAAACACCCACAGGAAGAATTAATCGAGCATCGGATATCCCCTGAGGTAGTCAATCAACAAAACGAAGAAGGCCAGCCAGAGGGTCAAGAACGAGAACAAGAATTCCAAGCACGAGGCGAAGCAGTGAGGCGAAGCAGTGAGGCGAAGCAGTGAGGCGCTCGGAAAGAACACGAAACCCTTAATCTCGTCTCCGAGACTATGTATGTTACTAGCGGGGGAGATTATTATGTATCTTCACTTATTAGATTCAACTAAGTATTACATAAGTATGGTAACTCTACTCGAATAAGTATCATTCCTAGTTTGTACCATCGCTAACATGAATTATAACTACCTTCTCTATTGAATTGTAAGTCGTTGAATAAAAGGAAAAGAAGACATAACACGGCGGTTCTGATGAAACTCCGCTATCGGAATTGGCGATCATCTTAGCAGTTAAATTTTCTATCACGTGATTTTATAACGGTGTTTAATAGCGTTATAACGGAGTCTCACATCCGACCTTCTAACTTTGTACGGGGTCACCAGTTTTTAGCTACAGGTTTTATGCGTATCACCGTAGCTGTAGCTTGGGTTAGCTTTCTACCGAAATAAAAACGCTTAGAGCTTCAAAATCACCAAATGTATAAATTCTTTATTTAAACTTGATAATTGTTTTGCCAAATTAGAGCAGTAGTTAAGACGCCTATGTAGGAAAGCGTAAAACCAATTCGCGAGAGGCGTGACAAAATTGAAAATGATATTGCATGTAGCTTACCGTGTCGTAATGATAAAAGGAAACAGACTACAGTTAGGTTTTTGTTCTAAAAAGTTACAATGTAGGAATAATGCGAATATGCAAACTAGACAAATGAGAAGAGTAAGAATACGAAATGATACTTAAGCGGATGTATGATATTGTAGCATAGCCGAATATGAATGCAGGGCTGTTGGTGCTAAGCAGCAGGGTGCTCCACATTGATAAGGACGTGGTCCAGACATGCATAGACACCCGATTACAGTCTGGATACTGCAGCCGCCTCAACAGCTACCTGTTCAGACTCGACCCCAATATCCCCAATGAGTGTCCGGCATGTGGAGACTCCCGCACGACACCACCAGCTCTATCCTACTCAACTAACAACCCTCTCCCTTTGGTCCGAACTTAGTGAAACAGCCCATTTCCTGGGCCTACCGTTAGTTGAGCTTGACGACAATGATTGAAGGATGAACCGAAATAGGCGGGGCTTAGTAGTGCCGCTACAAAAACCACAACGGGAGACGAAGGAAGCCCTCGCCAAGGCACGTCAGGAGGCATCTATATGAACTGACGGACGAAATCCAGAGGTTCATTAAGCAGCCTCGGGACCCGTCAGCTTACAGACAGGCCCTGAACGGCATTCACAGGGACGCAGTCTCGAGTTATGTAGACTCTAGACCTCTGAATGCTGTTCTAGGCACACAAACACCGGATATTGACGCGACGGAGCTCCATCTGTCTCGGGAGACCAAAACAACAATAGCCCAACTTCGCTGTGGCTACTGCAGCAGACTAAACTCCTACCTGAGTAGGCTAAATGCGGATGTGCCGAATGAATGTCCGGCATGCGGAGAGACCCCTCACGACTCGAAACATCTTATCGCATGCCCGGAAAACCACACAACCCTAACGGCGTCGTCCCTGTGGACCGACCCTATAGAGGCTGCACGCTTCTTGGGGCTGCTGTTAGTGGAACTCGACGACAACGACTGAGATATCAACCGATCTGGGCGGGGTTGTTGTAGCCGCTACAACAACAACAACAACAACAACGAAGGAAGTGAGTAACTTCAGAGGCAACGCAGTCCGGAGTGCCGTGTTCTCGCATGTCTGCAGCTTCGTCCACTGCGTCCTGTTAGTCCCCGGCGACCCCACGGGCGCTGCATAGTCTAGAACCGACCGACCAATTGCCTTGTATGTTGCGAACAACGTTTGTCTTTGCCTCAGGCGCTGCCGGCTAGCAACTTAAGGACCTTGTTTCGGCTATATCCTCTATTGAAAATTGCGGTTTTATTCGCCTAGTAGGAGAGCACGACATCGACATGAATTCCCAGCTGTAGACTGACCTCCTTCGTCTAGGTGGTAAAAATGGTTGCCGACAATGAAAATTAGGGACGAATGTCAACCACACAGATAGTTCGCTGACCACCGTTTGAGTCCCTCTGGGAGAAATGAGGCCTCAGTGTCTTCTAGTAGCGTGGAGTGGCTGACGGTGTCAAACGCTTTCGACAGATCTAACACTACTAGGACTGTTCTCTCATAGGAGCGGTTTCGGTTCACGCCAAGAGTTATCTGGGTGTTTATAACGTTAAATGTTATTGCTGTGTTGTGCACTTTACGGAACCTATGCTGATGCCTCGCTGGGGTCAGATGGTTCATATAGTGTGTGAGTAGCAAAACCTCAAGTGTCTTCGCGACCGGGGAAAGGACGATCAGACTTCTTTGTTAGCCGGTTTCCCCGGTTTGAGCAGTGGACCACGCTTCCTCGTTTTCCAGATATCAGAGACGATGAGAGTAGCCATGGACAACATGAGGGCCTTGGTGAGATAGTGTACTCCCGAGGGACCCAATTTTTTCAGCATTTGCATGCATATTTCGCCGGTTTCAATGGCTTTGGAGGCTTTTGCCTTCCCGATGTCTACCCGAATCTGCCCGCTGGTGAAAGCAGGAAGCGCACTTGGTATTGGTAGTTTGTGCAGCCTCTATTGGTCACTCAGCGTTTGGCTTCGTCCATCGGAAGATGCAGCGTAAACTGTCGGCTAAAGTAGCTCGCTCATCTCCCGCCGAAAAAAAATTGCACCGTCGTCGCGCGTCGTCGGCTTGAACAGTGACCTCACGGTTGACCAAAGCTTACTCACACCAGCATATTTCATTCCGAGCATATTGAAGAAGTTCCGTACTTTTTCTCCGGCAACGCAGAAAGTTGAATTCTGCGTCGTTAGGGTTACAATCCCTAAGCGCGGCTGAAAGCCTGTCGATATGCTAACGGGTCCAGAGGTTGCCTTATGAACCTCAGGACTTCGTCCGTCAGTTCGTATAGATGCCTTCTGACATGCGTTGGCGAGGGCTCCTCTGCAAGAAAGTGTCTGTTCGGGTGTCCACGTCTGTGGCTCCCTACTAAGAATTGCTTGCAGAGCATTGTCGTGTAGGTGATGTTCTGGCGACATCAGGAGGCATCCGGTCGCTGTCCGAAGTGCTGTGTTTTGTTGTTGTTGTTGTACCGGCTACCAAGCCCAGCTCGGGTCGGTTCATCCATCAACGCTGTCGTCTGCTTCAGCTAAGGGGAGGCCCAAGAAGTGCGCATTTCAGTTCAATTGGTCTACAAAGTGAGGTTGAATTCCGCAGGGGCTTTTATTTAAAAAGTTATTAATTTTAAAGTTGCACAATTCACCATATAAATTTCATTGATTACATGGAAGTGGTGGAAATAAACACATAAATTGGTGCTACCAGATGATGAGAAAAGGGGGCGTTTTTGTATTCACCTTATATTGTTTTAATAAAATAAGCGACGCAGGCGAAGTATTGATTTTAATCAAAATTTTAATTATTTATCGAACCATCGATTTTTATAAGAAAGCGCCGAAGGCGAAAATTTATCATTATGTATATATCGAAGTATTGTTTTTTTTTTTAAAGCGCCGCAGGCGAATGTTTGTAATAAAAAATAGCGCGATTTTTTATAAAAAATTTTCATTATTTATCGAAGTATTGATTTTGGAGAAACTTTCCAATACGGGCATTCATTACAGGGCGGTGGGCGAAGGGGGAGTGGTCGTGGCACCTCCAACCCGCCTTCTTGGAGAGGGCATAACCGCCATTGACAAAAATGCAACCCCCGACCACCTAGGCCCCCTATGGGTCCGTAGAGACCCCTTAGAAAAATGGCCAAAATCAAAATTTTTACTTGCGTCCACAGTATTTTTGCGTAGAATTCCTTTCTGCGTAGGCGGCCTTCGGTCGCGCTTTAGGATTATAACCCTTACCAAATAGAATTCTACTTTTGGTGTGCACCAAAGTGATGTAGCCTTGGGAAAGGATGAGGTAACTAGAATTCCCTTTCTGTGTGGTAAACCTGGGGCTGCCGCCCCAGTGCTGTCTGTATACAGAGGTCTTTGTTTAACATATTTTAAAAACACATTATACTCATTCATTCCCTACTGTTATCGAGATCATTATGAAACAGTGGTAAATTGTTGAAAATCCCACCGTATTAATCAGCCTCATTGCGTAAGTCGGAAATTAGGTTAAATTGTACGACTCGACAACAGCAGCATTGTCTATTGTCGTACTGAAATAAGTAAACGACCAAAAGCGTCGAAAACTATACAGTGCTGCCAAGGTTTTCCGTTTTAATACACTAGTCGAGTGGAAATTTTAGGCAATGAATTTTAGGATGGACGCCGCTTTATGAAAAGTGACCCCCCCTCCCCAACCCCCCTACAGACCACAGCGGAGCCTTTTGAAAATATGGGAATTTTAGATTTTTTGAAAGGCAAAAGAAGTTTTGCAACAGAAAAGGGTAATTATCTAGGTGGGCTTTCAACCCCTAAAATTGATCAAAATTTAGGAAAGGGGGTACCATTAGACACCTCTGGACCCCAGTAACAAGAA